GGTCAAAAAGGATCTTGCTGTGATTTATGTCATAGTGTGTTCTGCCTGTGTTTTCCTCTAAGAGTTTGATAGTGTCTGGCCTTAAATTTAGGTCTTTAATCCCCTCCCCAGGCACTCATCACAATCTCCTCAGTGGGCCCCTCCCTCCCACTGCCCTCCCCACCTGTGCGTCCCGCCCCGGCCTTCATGACCTCTCAGGCCTCTGCCTCTTCTCCAGGGCTCCCTCCCTCAAGGCCTGTCCCATGGGTACCTGGTAGATAAATGAACACACTGGTTCACACAAACCTGCTTTCCCTTCATGGGCCTCTTTATTCAAGACCTTTATTTTGAATTGTCAAGCAACTTGCCCAGCCCCGCTGAGGCTTCCTAAAAGGAATGCTTCAAGTCAAAATGCATTTGTTGCCTTTGCCTTTCCTATTACCAAGGACTCACTACCACCATCTTTGGGCATCCCAATGTAAACCAACAGCATTTGCTTTTTCTTGTTTATTTTTTTTCTAACAGAATTCCAGAATAAAAATAGATCTCTATCATATATATATATATTTATACACATACATACACATATAGAGATCCTTCAGCCAGGCGGGATGAAGGATCTGGTGTCCTTACAGTGTCCCTTGGCCTGGCATGGGAAGGCTAGAGGCACAGGCTCTCCCTGGTGGCACCTGGGGGTGTGGAGTGCTGAGCCAGGGCTGGGAGGAGCGTGGGTCTCCAACAGCCTCTCGCCTCGCCTCCGAGGAACAGACCGGGCTCTGACCGAGCTAGGGCAGCCTTCACCTGACCCTTCCACACACCTTCAAGTGAGAGATATGCCACCCGGGGCTTTAAAACTGAAACCCAAAGTGCAGATGAGAAAGGAGTTCCCCGATAGGCCTGTGGGGAGAGTTCCAAGAGCATCACGTAGCAGGGAAGACACCACCCACCAGCACCCCCAGGACCCCGGTAGAGACGGGTGTCACGTACACAGAGGCCTGCACAACCAGGGAGGGGCTAGGCTCCGGCCCTTCCGGCCCTCTAATTATAGGCCCTGTTTGGCCCCAGGCAGGGGAAACCAAATGGCTAGGGCGGGGCTTGGGTCACCCCAGAGAGCCTGAGGTGAAAATGGGCTGTGGATGGTGTTCAGGGCAGTCCTAGATGATTGCCAGTCTCCACATTATAACCCCTAGAGGGATCTACACTGTACCCATTGCCCGGAAAGGTAAGGCTTGAAGGAATGAGGTGTTGACGCAAGGAAGGGCTGGGTCCAGCGGCCATGTTTGTATCCTAGGGGCTGCAGCCCAGGGCCTGAGGAGGCGGCTGAGGCCCGTTTCTAGAGAGGTGGAGGTGGGCAGAAATGGAAGTTTAGTTAGGCCCAGAACTGAGTGCCCCTGGCCAGACACCAGAGGCCCCAGAGGCACTTGGCAACAGAGGGGAAGATTAAAGGCGGGCCCAAGCAAAGAGGGGCACGGCCAGGCACTGTCCACTAACTTAAACCTGGGAGAGGACCCAGAGGTCCATCCTCTTCCCGCCTGCCAGCAGATTCTTCAAGCCATGACTGCCCTGGGCACGACCTGAGAGTGGGGTGTGAGGCCAGGGCCAGGGGGCTCCCTCAGGCACCGAGGCCTGCTGAGGGCAGGTGGTGAAGTACAGCTGTGAGGTTCCCCCACTAGCGCTCTTGGGGAACAAGTCCAGTCACCATGACTCTAAGTCACTGAGGGTTCAAGCAGACTGCCTCCCGAGGGGCCGAGGAAGGAACCCAGGAGAACCCTCTTGGCCCAGCCAAAGGGCAGCTCATCTTTGGCGTGGGGAGCAGAGAGCTGAGGTTCGAGACTAAAGCTTGTGGAAAGCCGGGAAATCCGGGGTCAGAGATATTGAAGGAGGGTGGCAGGTACAGTACAGGGGCTTTTAGACGGGGCGGGGGGGGTCCCCAAGCCTCCCAGACCCTTACTGCGCATTTAGATGATGCCCAGACACACTGGGGAGCGTCCCCCGTGTTGATGTGGCCTCCCAGCTACTTCCTTGCTCACAAACTCCATGTAGTCTGAGTCCCAAGAAACAAGGGATTTGTTTTTGATGCAGACCTGGTCCACCCTGCTCCAGATGAGCAGCTCCCAGTCCCAGCTGGCCCCGGAGGGAAAGGGGGGGGGGAGGCGAGGAGAATTAGGGCTGCAGCCTGCAGACACATTCCCTAGAGATGTATCGCCCTGAGGCCCCGTACCTCCCCTGACCCATGCTCCCTGCTGCCCGCCTGCCCACTGGGCAGCTCCCTCCCTCCCCAAAGCTGCGAGGCCTCATCAGAGCTCTCTGGGGATGATGGAGAAGGGCAGCACTGGGCTGCTGGCCTCCAGTTCGAGGGCGGTGAGAAAGCAGTCGACGGCGGCCTCGCTCTGGCCCTGGGCCTGCAGCACCTCGCCCAGGCCCTGCCATGCTTCGTGGCAGGTGCTCTGCCTCTCCACGGCGTCCCGTAGCACCTTCTGGGCCAGGCTCTTATGGCCCAGCTGACTCAGCATCACACCCTGGGGAGCAAGCACAGGGTGGGGTGAGTGAGGCTGTCCTGGGGCAGGGGCATCCTGGCCATCGGGGTAAGGAGTGGAAGCAGCGCGGCCACGAGCCAGAGAGGGCCCTGCGTCTCAGGCTCGGGTACTGTCAAGTGACCCTGTGTCCGTCCCAGCCTTGCTTCCAGCCCGGCCTCCCGGGTCACCCACTGTGGCAGCTCTGATCCTCCTTGCCCCAGGCGTTGGGCTTTAAGGTCAGCAGACCTGGCTTCGGGTCTCCCCATTACAGCTGAGGGATCCCGGGCAAGTCACCCCTCTCTGGCCCTCAGTTTTCTCATCTGTAAATGGGAAAGACCACTGTGTCCACCTCTAGGGTTGTAGTGAAGTTTACACGACAGTAGAGGCAAAGCACTTGAACTGTGCCTGGTGTGTGAGCTCTCGGTCAACGGATCTGTTACCCCAAGGCCCCTGGCTGCACTGTGGCGCTGCCCTTCTCCCCAGGGACCTGTGAGACCAAGGAGTGTGCGCTACAGGCCTGGGGGGACCTCAAGCCTGTGGGTGAATGGACAGCTCCTGTGCCCGCATTGGTAGCCTGTCTTCCTGGGACCTAAAGCCCATCCCAGCCTGGCCAGGCAGGTGAGGGTCGCAGGAGGAGAGTCAGATGGCCGGGGAACCAGGGACAGATGCTGGGTGAAAGGAGGGCCTCTGGGAGGGGCCTGGGAAGCTTGGCCCCGTTGTTTGGAGAGACAGAGGAAGTGACAGGAACTGTCACCGAGCTGGGAAGTGAAACTGGCACCTTGTCCCGCTCTACGTCCACCCACACTGGGAGGGGTGTGGGGAGGTGGGGTGGACAGGGTGCTGAGCAGGGGGAAGGGCCAGGGTCCTCTTTCGACCTCCAGTCCCAGAAAGACTGCTTTGCACCCTCCCACTAGTCTGTGTCCCAGCCCTCAAAGGTGGCACAGTATCGCAGCACGGGGGGCCATCCTCTCATTCAGACATGAAGTAAAGCCCAAACAACAGCGACTTCCTGGACAGGGAATGGGGGTGGGGAGCTGCCTTCCGTGTGCCAGGAGCCCCCTCTCGGGTGCCCGCCCACTGACGGCCATGTACATTTTTAGCTGGAACATTTTCCTCCTCGCCGCACTCCCCAGAGTTAGGCCCTCCGTTGCTATGGAGACCCACTGGGGAAGATGCACATGGCTGATTTCATAAAGTCTTCCGAGGGCTTGGAATACGACCAATTAGGCAAGAGTGAAAGATGGTGCTCAGGAAGCCCTAGGAAAAGCCTCCTTCTCTGAAGGAGCTGGCTGGCGGTCTGGTGGCCAGGGGGAGGGAAAGGGAGGGGAGCTCTTCAACCGAGGGTGAAGCTGTCCCCAGGGGACCACAGGGATGGGGGGAGGGCAGGGGAACCAGGGGCAGGCTCAGGCAGGGCTCCTGGATCTGGCCAGATGGGTGCAGTGCTGACTCAGGGCTGTCCAGGACCAGTGGGCAGTGTCCAGTCTGGCCAGCAGGGCTCCAGGCCAAGCTGCTCTGTCCACATGGCCTGGGAGCTGGACCCTGAGCAGCTCATGATGGAACAGGGCCCACGAGGAGGAGGGCAGGAAGGCGAGACAACAGGCCGCCAGACACCAAAATTAAGCACCAAAAATGGAAGGTTTGAGCCCTGTGAGTGCTGCCCATGGGGGAGCAACAGAGGACAGATGGGGAAGGCCAGCGGGGCCACCCAGGGCGGGGGCGGGGCCACAGTGGCTTTTACACACCAAGTTTTCTATATTGAGCTTCCATGTGAGATTTTTGTTTGAAAAGAGGGCTGTATAGCTAAAAACAAGCCTGAAAACCCTGATCTCAAGAAGTGTGTAGGTGTTTGGGAAGGGGCCAGATGTGTCTGCAGGCTGAACAGGGTGTGTGTGTTGGTTTAGGTTTGGGGCAGGCTCCTCTGTATGTTCTAGGTAGAGGAAAACAGCCCAGGGCTACACAGCTGGAAGACCTGGCCAGGTTGGAATCCCAGCTGTGCCACTGACAAGTGCCAAGACCATGGGGAAGTGGCCCATTTTCTCTGAGCTGCTGTTCCCTTGTCTGTAAACCAGGGGATAGAACAGTCCTACCTCGTAGGCTATTGTGAGGGTTCTGCAAGGATGAATTTGAAATTATAGAGCAGGGTGCATGGTGGGCTAACAGCAAATGGAAGGTGTCCCCAGGATGAACAGAGGGTCCTGGATGGAGGGGCAGGGAGGGCAAAGAAGATCTGGAGGGCAAGGCTCCCTGAGGGAAGACTGTGTGTGGGCTGGCGTGGGGTTGGATCACATCCCCCCCACCCTGGGGTGCTGACCTCAGAGCCTGAAAGGAGACACCGGGGTCAGGCTGGGGTCTGGAGGCCCAGGGCCTGTAACAGGATCTGCTGCCACCTGCCCGAGACGCCAGCCCGTTGGGTTCATGTTTGGTAGCAACTCAGAGCTGTTTGCTGCCTGACAACTGGGCAGGGCCCTGCCCCAGGAGGATGTGAGGTCTCACCTGCTCTCCCAAAGCCCAGCGCTGAGCCGAGGGCCTGCCGTCAGTCACCCCACCCCCAGCTGCCCCGAGAACAGGTCTCCAGGGAGATGGTGGGAACACAGAACTGGTCTCAATTCCATCCAAATATCCCGGCTGACTCCTTCCCTCCCTGTGTCGAGAGAGGAGACCAGACCTGCTAAGTGACTCTCAGCTTCTGACACTTGACCTGGGAGATGCCATCGCCGTGCTGCCCACACAGGGATTAGAAAGAAGTGCAAGTCACTGATGGTGGTGGAGCACGGCGCCTATACCCGGAGCTCAGGGAGGGGCAGGGCTATGGGGGAGTCCCCAGAAACTCCCGAGGTCGTCCATTCCTTCTTCCTTCCCTCCCTTCCTGGATCTCAGGAAGGGAGGGAGCATCTGGCCTCATCTCATCCGCCGGGACCCTGCTCCTCTACGAAGTCTGTCTTTCTTGCCTAAGGGCAGCACCTGCTGCCACCACCGCCTGGAGGGTATGCTCCTCACTGTAGCTCTCGAACGCCATCCCTGACCCCACCCCCGTAGGCTGAGAGAGACAGGATTTCCCACAGGACAGCAGCTCACAAGAGTCCGGGGGGGTGGTGGTGGTCCCGGGTGCAAAGCCAGGCACACCGGAGGCCTTTATGCGTACTTAGTGACCTGCTTAGGCCCACAAAGGCAGGCAGCCTGAGGGCCGCCTCCCTGGCTAGGATCTGGTCTCCGGTTTGTGTGGAGACTCTGAGGGATGAAGGGGAGCGGGGGTCCTACCTGCCTTTTGGAGAATTACCACTGCACACCATCTCATCCGGTTGATTCAGTGCCTGACGCTGTACCCCAGAGGGGAGGGGCGGCAGGAAGGTCCCGCTGTGTGAGCCTTTTTCTTCTTTGGGGGGAGGGCGGCCCTGGGAAGCAGCCCTGACTGCTAGGCCAGCTGCAGGCCAGGCTGAGGGCTCCCTCCCCACCCCTCCCCTCAAGTATTTATAGAAGTTATTTTGGGAATTTTCTTTCTGAGCTCAAGGCACATTCCTGGGATTCTATAACAGCCTTTCCAGCTGGGAAGCCGGGAATCAGCTGGAAGCTGCTGGAGTCTCCGGGTCCCTGGAGCCCCCTGCTTGGGGACCATGGGGCTGCAGGAAGGAGCCCATGGCGGGACCACCTCTGAGGCTGCCCCAAGGCTCCCTCCCTTCACCCACCCCAGGGGCGGGGAGGGGAGGGGAGGGGGGCTGACACACCCTTCAGGGAGGCCCACATTCCAGCCGAGCTCACAGCTCTCTCCGCGCACTCCCGGATCCTCCCAGGTGTCAGCCCCTACCTGTCCAACCACACTGGGAATGAGGAATCTGTCCCGGCTGAGAACCTAGCCCACACATCACATCCCTCCTGGACCTGGGGCAGCTCCAGGCCCACAGGCTGGTCCTACCTCCTTGTTGTGGGAAGGGTATGACTCCTAGACCCACCCAGAGCTCCCCTTGGCTCTCTCACAGGAAGAAGCCTCGGCCCAGAGAGCCCCCAGACTCACTCAGAGCCCAGCCTAGCTAGGGGCCTTCTGGGGCAGCAGAGGTGGCTGTGCTCTTCACATACCAGAACTCACGCCTGTCCCTTCCTCCTAGGGCCTCCACAGGTGAGATGTCGTGAACACCAGCGGGCCCCTCGGCTGGGGGTGGTGTCTGTCTGCAGAGGGCCGCAGCCAGGCTCAAGGACAAGCACCGCTTGGTCAGAGGGCGGGCACGGCCTGCGGGGGAGGGGGTCTTGCCAGTCCCGCTTCTAGGCAGGGGGCTGGGCCTTTTCGGGTTGGTTTCAGGCTCTGGGCTGGCTGGGGGCTCTGCCCACCCTGGAGCACGGCCAGGCCCACAGGGCCAGGTCAGGAGGCTGCAGCGAGGCCTCTGGACTCTGGATTCTAGAAGTGAACACCCTGTGATGGGCAGCGAGAGGGGGACCCCATGGCAGATGCTCCTCTCTAAGCAGGAGCCAGAGGGGTGTGCTGGCCTTCTGCACAAGGGGAAAGGCCTGAACCCTGCTACACCCTCCAGACATGTCTTTCCGACCATTGATTCTGGGGTTAAATTAAGCCAACAGTGCTTAACCGTGGCTCTGAGCTGAGTCTGTGCCACTGCCAGAAAGCTTCCTGCCCGCTTCCTCATCAGGGTTGCTGTGGACTTCAGGAGTCCACACACCGGCCTACGGTTTGCCTAAAGTCCTGGGTCAGAGGCAGGGGGACCTGCCTCCGCGAGCCTGGGGTGCGGGCTCAGGGGCAGTGCTGCGGCTGTGCCGTCGTGGGCATGAGGTGGGCTGGGGGCGGCCGCTGGACACGGGAGGCCCAGGCTGAGGGGACACGCCCTCGCACCTCCCACCCCTCCTCCCTTCTCTACTGCCCCATCAGGGAATGCAGAGCGCAGGCAGCACTGCGGAGGGACCAGGAAGAGAGCTCCCGATAAAACCTAGGAGGTCACATGGCCAAGAAGACATTCCTATTGAGTTTTCCTGCCACACAGCAGCAGTATTCCTGCCCCACTGGAGCTGGGGAGACTCCGCTCATGAGCGCAGGCAAGACTTCCAGGTCCTCCCCTTGCCTCAGGCTGCCTGGACCCTCAGCCCTCTGCCACGGCTCAGGAAGCCAACAAGGAAGAAGCCTAGAGCAGGCGGGCTTTCCTGCATGCGGAGGCATGGGGCCCTGGAACCAGAGACCTTCCTGCCCGCCTCATCCAGCGTCAGAGAACCTCCAGAAGGCCGGGTGCTGAGTTTCACTTCTCAGCCGCTCAGAACACCTTTCCTCCTTCAAGTCAGGAAGCAGCGGCCGAACCAGCCTAACAAGACTATGGGCCCGAGCGTAGGGCCTCCCCGAGCCTGGCCTTCCCTGCTCTTCCTCTCCAGCAGCCTCGGGGCCCAGCACGCCCCTTTAGCTGCAGAGCCTCACCTGACATATGCGACGGCAAGAGGGGGTCTCAAATCCCCCTCGTCCCTCAACGCAGACTCTAGCTCACTGGGCCGGCTGCTCTCGCTCTCAGCCAGGGGTAGCCTGGCCTCGCACTGTGCACGGTCTTGTCCCACCCGCAGGGCAGCTGGGGCTGATGTCCCAGGCCTCTGTGCCTGGGTCAGAGTCGCTGGGTGGACTCAGAGGACGGGGAGGCTTCGCTACAATGAGTGTCTGGGGCTCGGCTCTGGGCATCCCCTTCCCTCTGCAAACCAAGAGCATCTGAACCTGGCCTGGGAGCCACACTTTGAAATGAAAAAGTAAACGCTTTTGCACAGCAAAGGAAACCATGAGCAAAATGAAAAGACAACTTCACAGAATGGGAGAAAACATTTGCAAATGATGCGACCGACAGGGATTAATCTCCAGAATATACAAACAGCTCATGCAGCTCAACTGCAAAAAACCACCCGGTCAAGAAGTGGGCAGAAGGTCTAAACGGACATTCCTCCAGAGAAGACACACAGATGGTCAAGAAGTGGGCAGAAGGTCTAAACGGACATTCCTCCAGAGAAGACACACAGATGGCCAAGAAGCACCTGAAAAGACGCTCAACATCGCTAATCACTAGAGAAATGCAAATCAAAGCTACACTGAGGTATCACCTCACACCGGTCAGAATGGTCATCATCAAAAGATCTACAAACAATAAATGCTGGAGAGGGTGTGGGGAAAAGGGAACCCTCCTGCACTGCTGGTGGGAATGTAAATTCATACAGCCACTATGGAGGACAGTATGGAGGTCCCTTAAAAAACTAAAAATAGAACTACCATATGCTCCAGCAATCCCACTCCTGGGCATATATCTAGAGAAAACGATAATTTGAAAAGATACAGGCACCCCAATGTTCACTGCAGCACTATTTACAACAGCCAAGAGATGGAAGCGACCTAAGTGTCCACCAACAGAAAAATGGATAAAGAAGATGTGGTACATATATACAATGGACTATTTACTCAGCCATAAAAAAGAATGAAATAAGGCCATTTGCAGCAACATGGATGGACCTGGAGATGATCATACTAAGCAAAGTCAGTCAGGCAGAGAAAGACAAACATCATATGATACCACTTACACGTGCAATACCACCTATACATGCAATCTTAAAAAATGATACAGATGAATTTATTTACAAAACAGACTTAAAAAACCACAGGGAAATCTACTCAATATGCTGTAATAACCTAAATGGGAAAAGAATCTGAAAAAGAGTGGATATGTGTATATGTATAACTGAATCACTTTGCTGTACACCTGAAACTAACACAACATTGTAAATCAAACATACTCCAATATAAAAAATAAATTAAATCAATAAAGGTAAAAGTAACCCTGTCTACTGGGCCATTAACTGACAGAATTCTTTAGCCTAATCCTAACAAGAGCCCTCGGTGCTTGGCGTCACGAGTCCCATTTTACAGAGGAGGACACTGAGGTTCTGGGAGGTTGAAGAACTTGGCCAAGGTTAAATGGTGAGTACAGGCAAAGTGGAACTCAAGTCCAGCTCAGTCATACTCGAATGCTGTGCTCCAACCTCCAGACATGATACTGGGGGCTTAAAAACCACCCCAGCCCCAGAGGCAACCCCGAAGGCAGCTCTGTTGGCACCACGGGCCACCCAACAGCACAAGGAGATTTGGGCCAATGACCCTTGTCCCATGGCAGTGAGGTCAAGCAGCCCTGTCAAAGGTGGGGCTCAAACTCAGGCCACCTGGTCTTCCACGTGAATGGTGGCAAAAATACCCGGTGTTGACTTCTCTTTTCACAGCTCTCGGCTCGTCCCCTAAAACTACCCCTTCAGGTCACAAGGGCCTGAATTATTATCCCCATTTGATAGAAGAGAAACTGAACCAGCAAGAGGAAGTAATCTCCAAGTGCCCCCCTAACCCGAAGGCCGGCAGGGCTGACTGCGTGTCTCAGACCTCTCCCGTCTGGTCCTACCCTCCAGGACTGGGGACAGGACCAGTCAGGGGAGGGTGGGTGGAGTTCACCTCTTTGACCTTAGAGAGCAGAGCCTTCCAGGTTAGATTCCTGGAGCACCTGCAAAAGGCCCAACCCAGAACCTCAGGTTTGGGTGGGGCAGAGCCCTGGTTCTCGCTGACTCAGGCCCGGCCTTGGGGAGGGAGAGCGATGGTGGGAGGGAGCTTCTGCGGGACTTAAGTCGTGAAGTGGCACACCCCAGCCTGGAGAGAGGGAGGCAAGGAGCTCTGGGGCCAACTGGGGGTGGCCGCATGCCATGGCCGTGCCCCAAGTCCACTTAAAGACAACCATGCTGGGAGCCAGAGGGAACGAATGCAGGGGAATAATTCATCACCAGCTCTCATCAGGGGGCAACAGGTGACAGAAACACTGTCTTCCTGTCTTTCCAGGGGCATCTGGAGAGAGGATAGGCCGGGTCACGCAGCCAGGATTGCTTCAGAAATCACATCTCTGGGAATTACATGACAGGAGCCAAAGCTTATGCAGGGCTGTCTCCCCCTACTGCTGGGGTGTCCGACGTGGAAAGGGTTCTGGGGAGAGGGGGCAGCAGGAGCTAAAGCTCTGTCCCAAGAAGAAAGCATGACCAGGGGCAGAGGCCAGTGAAGAGCAACGAAGCCTGCCCAGAGAGGGGCCAGGAAACCACTACCCCCCAGGATCTGTCCCTGGGAGAGGAGGGCGGGACGCCAACCACCACAAACACAGATGGTGGCAGGGACGCAGCCACACCTGCCCACTCCTGGCGGAGGCTTTCAAGCTACCACCTGCAGTGAGACAGTCCGCACCAAACATCCACAGTCCCGGCTCAGGCAAGTGGAGGGTAGAGAGTGAGGCAGCGTGTGGCCAGGGCTGGGGACCCTCCTGCCATTAAGGTCAGGTGACCTA